GCTGTCCAGATTACCTGCATTTCAAATTAGCTTTTAAGAAAGTGCACTGCAAATCTCAGGACATTCTGCATGCTCAGCCAGGAGCTGTTCACCTGCCAAAACTCTGATTAATTCAGTGGCCTGAAGGTCATATAGCTAGACGTCTTATTTGTTGATGTGCAGCTGTGCCCTAAGGATCTTTTTCATACTCAAAGCCAGTGTTCCAGAAAGTACAATTTAGCATGAATTTGTGATTCTACATAGGTGAGGACACCGACTGTCTACACATAATGCAACATCCTACCCCAGGAATGATACTCGTGAACTAACCCAGCATTCATAAAACACAGCAAGGTTATTAAACTAGAATCCACATTGAAACTCATGCATTTGTTCTTGAAAACAAGGTATTTGAATTTTGGTAATAAACTAGTAGAAAATTTGAGAAGAAAAAAAACAATTTCCACACAGAAAAATTCTGTAGGGAAAGCCATGTGTCATGGATTGACTTATACCCCTCCAAAATATATGTATGTTGTAATCTTCCTTGATCTGATAAGCCAAATAAGTGTACAAAGATTAAGGGGGAATTGCAAAACCCTTTAATATCATCACAGCCCTTGAGAGTTGCTCTGTGGTACCTTTTTACCTCACAAGACTTAAAAAAAAAGCAGAGGGAAGCAAACCACTAATAGGGGCCTCACAACCACCAAAAATTAGCCAGGAGTGGAGCTTCTGAATCTGGGCCTCCGTGGTAGCAACATCCTTAAGACAAAGAAAGTCTAGGTACAATGAGAGACTGCCATGGAATGCATGGCCTCCAGAGGCTGCAGGACTCTTTCACAAGTGACAGAGGACAGTCCTCCTAGAGTTGACATCCTGTATAGAGACTTTGTTAAAGTCGTCCATTTTTAATATCTCTGTTACAGTAACACTAGAGAACTAAAGTATTCAGTATTTTCAGTCTAGCCTAGAAATTGAAATCATCTAAGCTACTCATTAAAATTGCTGATGTCCCTTATAGTTTCACAACCTGATGGAACTATTATCAATGGATTATATATGTAAAAAATGCTGAATTGATAAGTGTCATGGTGTGTGTGTGTGTGTGTGTGTGTGTGTGTGTGTGTGTTTTAATTGGGAAAAACATAATGGGGTTACAAGGAGGTGTGGGTTGGGGGCAAAAAAGTGAGGATGGGCAGGGATGCAGTTGGAGAGCTGCACAATTTGCTTGGTATTTTTATCACAATTAAGAAAATTATTTTACCAATACAAAAAAATACTGATATTCAGAAACTAATCCACATCCACTAATCAGAATCTCTAGGACTGGAATCTGAACAAAGCAGACTTTTAAAAGATTCTCCAAGGCTATGGTAATATACAAATACATTTCTAAAAAAATTATCTAAACCAGGGGTCAGTAGTTTTTTCTTCTTTAAAGGGTCATAAAACAAACATCTTGGATTCTGTGAGGCCTTTAATTGATGCAGTAGCAAGAAGCAGCCAAAGACAAATAGTAAAGAAATAAATGTGTTTGCTACTATTATATATTATTATACTCAATATGTTGTTGTTGTTGTTATGTGCCGTCGAGTCGTTTGCAACTCATAGCCCTAAACCGTGCTCTATCCTGTGCCAATCTCATTGCCTCTGACAAACCCATCCTGAGTAACCCAGTCACTGAATCAATCCACCTCATAGAGGGTCTTCCCCTCCTGCGCTGTCCCTCCACTCTACCCAGCATGATGTCCCTCTCTAAAGACCTGT